AAGATCGGTCATTCTACTCCTCGCTGTTTTCGTCGTCTGGACGACCTGTTCCGCCAGCGCTTTGGCCCGGCGCCCGACCTCCCGGACTGGCACAGCTTGCTTAGGCGTAGCATTAGGATTTTTGACTTGGACATGGATGCCATTGTAGCGGCCTTGCATGTGATGTATGCTGATGACTCTAGTGTGCTTCCCTCTTATTACCCCGTGTTGCCTAGTGTAGCGGTGCCTAGCGTCGACTCCCCTGCTGCGTCAGGCGTAGGATCTCCTGCTTTGCTTAGCCTTGGTGCTTCCACCGCTTCACTGCCGCCTCGTGCGACTGCTGCGCTTTCCTTCACCTTGGACTCTGGCGCCTCCCGGTGTTTCTTCCGCGACTCCACGACGCTGACGCCGCTGCCTGCTCCCGCTGCAGTTACTCTTGCTGACCCCTCCGGTGGTCCCGTCGTTGCCCGCAGTTCCACCTCCCTTCCCTGTCCGGCGGTTCCTTCAGGTTCGCTCACCGGACTGCATATCCCCTCGTTCTCCAGGAACCTAGTTGGTGTCGGCTGCCTCCAGGACCTTGGCGTCACCACTACGTTCCCTGGTCACGAGCGGTATGCTGTCTGTACCGAGGCCGCCACTGGTGCCCCCCTTACCACTTTCCCCCGGGACCCGGTGTCCGGCCTGTTCACACTTGACACCGCGACGTCCCCGGCTGGGTCTTCCCCCCCGGTAGCTGCGTCCACCCAGGTTGCTGCCGCGTGCTCCTGTCGGTCCCTCACTCACCCGACTCTCCTTTGGCACCACCGCCTTGGTCACCCTGCACTCCCACGTCTGCGTCACATGTCCCAGCACGGTCTCGTCCTTGGTCTCCCCGGTTCGTTCCCCGAGTTTCCCTCCTCCCCCGCCCCACCGTGCACGCCTTGTGTCGAGGGCCGGCTCCGCCGTGCCCCTCACTCCTCCTCTTTTCCCCCTACCACCGCACCTCTGCAGACTCTGCACATGGACGTCTGGGGCCCAGCCCCGGTCCATGGGCCGCGTCGCGAGCGCTTCTTCCTAGTGCTTGTCGACGACTTCACGCGCTACACCACCGTCTTCCCCCTGGAGCGGAAGGCCGACGTGCCTGACGTTCTCATCCCCTGGCTTGTCTCTGCTCGTGTCCACCGCGGTCTCCCTGCCTTGCGCCTTCACTCCGACCGGGGTGGCGAGTTTGCCTCAGGTGTCCTTGGTCGCTTCTGTCGTGCGGAGGGCATCACCCAGACGTTTACCCTGCCGGACTCCCCGCAGCAGAATGGGGTCGCTGAGCGACGCATCGGTTTGGTCATGGAGGTGGCTCGCACCTCCATGATCCACGCCGGTGCACCCCATTTTCTGTGGCCGTTCGCCGTGCGCTACGCCGCTCACCAGCTTAACCTGTGGTCGCACCCCCAGCGGCCGCAGGTTTCGCCGACCCTTCTGTGGACCGGGTCCCCTGGTGACGCGTCTGCGTTCCGCGTCTGGGGCTGCCTTGCTCACGTTCGTGCCTCTGGCACGGACAAGCTCACTGCCCGCACCCTCCCCTGCGTCTTCCTCGGTTTCCCCCTTGACGCGTCCGACTGGCACTTCTACCACCCGCCGTCTCACCGCTTCTTTCACTCTCGCGACGTCACCTTTGACGAGTCCGTCTCCTTCTACCGCCGCTTTCCCCACCGTGGTCCCCCGGTTACTCCCCCCCTGTTCCTGGTTCCTCCCTCCCTGGTGGGGCCTGCCCCTCCCCCCCCCCGCCCCCCCGTCCGGCCCCCTCTGGTGTGTCTCACGTCACCCCCCTCCCGTCGGTCGTCCCGGTCGACGAGTCTTCTGACTCTGGTAGTCCTCCGGCGCAGTCCTCGCCGTCTGTCCCTCCCCCGGTGTCTCCTCCTCCACCGCCTCCGCAGCCGCCGTCGCCGCAGCTGCTGCAGCCGTCGTCTCCACCGCCGCCGCCGTTGCAGCCGTCGTCTCCGCCGCCGCCGCCGTCGCAGCCGTCGCTGCAGCCGCCGCCGCCGCTGTCGTCGCTGCCGCCGTTTGTGGACTCTGGGGGTGCTGGCGTTGAGGTGGGTACTAGTCCCGGGGCTCCTGTCGTGGCTTGTCCCGGCGGACCTGGGGGTGGTACCGGTGCTGGCGGGGTTTCGGGCTCTGGGGGTGTCCCTTCTGGGGGTGCAGGTGTGGAGGGTTCGGGAGGTAGCCGTCGCGCAGCTTGCGGCCCTGGTGTTGGTGTTGTGTCGCCGCAGCAGCAGTCCCCGCCTGTGTCCGCCCTCCGTCTGCTCGGCCTTCCGTCTCCTGACCCTGCGCCTGTTCCTCTCCTGCCGTCCCCCCCTCTTCCTGTCTACGGCCCCGTGTTCCCTCTGCCAGACTCGTCCCCGGCTCGTCTTCCCCCTCGTTCCCCTCCTGTGTCCCCTCCTCTGTCTCCTGACCCGACGCCGCCCTCACACGTCTGGTCTCGCCGCCCCTCTCGTGCTCGTCCTGTCTCCCCTGTCCCGCGCTCTCACCCTATGTTGCTCCGTTCCCACGCGTCTCGTCCTCCCCTCCTCCCGTCTCCTCCTCCGTCTTCTCTTGTCGTTGCGTCTCCTCCTCTGTCCGACTCCTTTCGTGCCGCTCGTCCTCTTGTTCCTCGGGTCCTTGCCTCTCTCGTTACCGACCCGTCTGTTCCAGTGTCGAGTCTTGATGCCCTCGTCGCTGCGGTCGCTGACTTCGCCTCTACCCGCCGCCTTGACTACGCCACCGCTCTGGTCTCTCACCCTGCCTGTCCTCCGTCTGTCGGGGGTGCTCCTGCCCTCGGCAGTGACGTCCTGGAGGACCGCCAGTTTGAGCTTGCTTTCCTGTCCGAGGCTGCTCCCCATCTCTGTTCCATGCTGCTAGTCCCTGAGGGTGACCCAGACGCTTTCGACATCCCGACCCCTCGTACTTACGCTGAGGCGGTTTCGGGACCCTGGGCCTCTCAGTGGATAGCTGCCATGGAGCAGGAGATGGCATCTTGGAGATCCACCGGCACCTTCGTCGACGCAGTTCCCCCACCTGGGGTGAACGTGGTCGATGGCCGTTGGCTCTTCAAGGTGAAGCGCCCTCCTGGAGAGCCGCCTGTGTTCAAGGCGCGCTACGTGGCTAGAGGCTTCAGTCAGCGCGAGGGGGTGGACTTCTTTCAGACTTTCGCTCCTACCCCGAAGATGACTACTCTTCGGGTTCTGCTACACGTAGCGGCTCAGCGTGACTACGAGCTTCACTCCCTCGACTTCTCCACTGCCTTTCTTCAGGGCAGCCTTCACGAGCAGGTCTACCTGCGTCGCCCTCAGGGCTTTACTGGCACCTTCCCCCCTGGGACCCAGTGGCTTCTGCGGCGGCCAGTCTACGGCCTGCGCCAGGCGCCTCGTGAGTGGCACGACACTTTGCGTGCTACCCTTGCTGACCTGCAGTTCTTTCCGTCCTCTGCAGACCCCTCGCTCTTCGTTCGTGCTGGCTCGACTCCGTTCTACATCCTCGTCTACGTAGACGACCTGGTCTTTGCCACTGCTGACAGGGACGCACTGGCCTCCGTGAAGGCAGAGCTGCTGAAGAGACACACCTGCACTGACCTTGGAGAGCTGCGCCGTTACCTTGGCTTGCAGATCTCCAGGGACAGAGCCGCGCGCACCATCACCCTGACTCAGTCACACTTGGTGCGCCAGGTCCTTCAGAGGTTCGGCCTTCAGTTCTCCTCCGCACAGCCCACCCCTCTTCCTCTGGACCACAGACTCTCCGCTCCAGTTCCTGAGGAGTCGGTAGATCCCAGTGGTCCTTACGCTGAGCTAGTGGGTTGCCTCATGTACCTGATGACTTGCACTCGCCCAGATCTCGCATACCCTCTCAGCATCCTGGCTCGTTTCGTGGCCACAGGCAGGCACCGACCTCAGCACTGGTCTGCCGCTAAGAGGGTTTTGCGTTATCTTGCAAGTACATCGGGCATGGGGTTAGTGCTAGGCGGACGCAGGCCAGTGGTCCTTACTGGACACACAGACGCTTCTTGGGCAGACGACGCCGAGACGCTCAGGTCTTCCCAGGGCTACTGCTTTAGCCTTGGTTCAGGTGCTGTCTCGTGGAGAGCTACCCGCTCTTCGTCTGTTGCCCAGTCCAGCTGTGAGGCCGAGATCTACGCCGGTGCCATGGCGGCACAGGAGCTCCGCTGGCTGACCTTCTTGCTCACTGACTTAGGTGAGCGGCCTAGCTCTGCCCCGGTCCTGTACGCTGACAACAGGGCCATGATCCTCCTGTGTCAGGAGCCTCGACTCGAGGGCAGAGCGAAGCACATCCAGCTGCGGTACTTCCTCCTGCTTGAGCTACAGCAGCGTCGCCAGGCTCGCGTAGTACACTTAGCCTCCGGTGCCAACACAGCTGATATCTTTACGAAGGCGCTTGCGCCTAAAGATCATCAGCGGCACTGTGTACAGCTTGGTCTGGTTCCTGTAGTCTCTCACTTACTCGGGCCTTGACTTTGTACTGTCCTATATATATCTGTGTGTACACTCAGACTGGACTTGTGTCCTCTTACAGTGGTTGGACTAGTAGTGCCGCCCTGTACTAGTTCTTGCCTTGCCTGTACTCCTTCTGACTGGTCTTTTAGACCCTTGTCTCAGAGGCTGGACTAGTAGTGCCACCCTGAGCTGCTTGTCTAGAACATTCCCCTATGCAGTCCAGGGGGTGTGTCAAACATGTTTAGTTATCATGCTTGTATAGACTGTATAGGGTCATCTTCTAGAGAGTACAACAGTTAGGTATATGTTTGAGTACTCTCTCTCTCTATGATCATTAATTTCACTGTTTGATACACGGAACCACGAATTCGGTCGCACGACGCGTATTGCACTGTTCACCGAATGGTTTCGTGCAAAACTGTCGCCAAACCGCCACGGTCAGATTCCTCTTTGCAAAACGAAATGTTTTTATTCTATTTCGTTTGCTCTAAAGATCAAGTCATGTGTCAAGTTCAAGAGGAAATTAAACAGCCCTCTTGATTGCTATAATAGCCACGGGCTTTAAGTGTTCTACAATATTGATTCCTTTTGTAAAGGGTACAACACCCTACTTGTATCTCTCTTGTCTAATCCATCCTCTGTTCTCTACCTAGCTAAAACCTCTCACCATTCTCATGCATAACTAGCTAAACCTTCTTCAAACAGCTTTGCCGAAGATTTATTCGCTGGAATTTTTTGGCACTGTTTTCATGGTCAGGAAAGTTGGTTTTTTACCATTCTAGACTCGGGCTTTAAGGCCCTGATATTGAATACCGCCTCAACTCTGAAGTTGAGGCTCAATGTCACAACACAGGAAGAACCCCAAGATGCAGGGGAGGGGAGACATGCAGGTGCCACATTGGATGAGAAGGTATGTTACCGTATGTTGATACGTGGATGGCTAGGGTCAAGCAGCTGGGGGATTCAGGAGTTCGTTCGTGCCGAGAACAGCCAAGTGCCTCTTCTTCATCAGCCCCATCCCACCACCCATCCTCCGGTACCTAATCCTCCATCCTTTTTAATCCTCCTCATCGCTCTCCACCACTCTCTTCCGCCTCCAAGCTGCAGGCTTCTTACTCTCCTCCCTCTCCTCCATCGAATCCTCCTCATCCCCCCCGTGCTCCTCCCCCCCTCCCCGCCCCCTCTCCCCCCCTCTCCGCCCATACCCCTCATCATCCGAATCCCCCGCCCTCCTGCCCCTGCCCCCCCTCCCCTCGTCGTACCCCCCCCTGCCCCTATCGTCGTCTGACTCCTCCTCATCACTGTAGCGCCCTCCCCTGCCTGAGCTCTTTGCGGCTTTTGAGGGCCGATGGTCGTAGGAGGGGGAGCGCTGGCGGGGGAAGGGGAGGGAGGAGGCAGGACAAGGGGGGGAAGCGGGGAAGGAAGGGGGAGTGGGAGGGGGGGGGAGAAGTGGGGGGGGGGGGGGGGAAGAAGCATAAATGATGGTGTAGCACTCTATTAGCCTTGGAAGGTATTTATTGCGGGGGGGGAAGGAATGGTGGGGAGGGGAGGCAGTGCAACAGTAAGGGAAGAGGAGAGGGATGGAATGACAGGAGGAAACAGAAGTGTAATTTATCACTGTAATAGCACTCACTCTCTTCCCCTGACGCCGGTCGTATATGTCCTCTTCCTCCTCCTCATCCTCTTCATAATCCTCCTCTTCCTCCTCACTCTCATACTCGTTTCGCCGCCCACCCCCGCCTCTCCCGCGATCCCTTCCGTACCCATAGCCCTCCTCCTCCCTCTGCTGCACCGGATGCCATGAAACGCCATCCCATACCATACCATGGGATGTCATGTCACGCAACAAGGGAATACGCAACACAGGTCGGATACAAGAGATGACGGCAAAAGGGAAGATGCAAGACGAAAGAGACACTTCTGAGTCGACTCAAAAGCAACCAGGTCAAATACAAGAGATGATAGCAAAAAGGAAGACGAAAGAGTCAAACAATGAGGGCATGGGAAAGCACTTGGTACGCACACACAAACTACAGCAAAAAAACTGCAAAAGAGCACACGGATGCTTGCGCTTATACTGCAAAAGAGCACACGGATGCTTGCGCTTGATTGAAAATACAAGCATACCTGTCTGTAACCCCCCCCATATCGCTGCTGCTCCCTGTCCCGCGCTGCCCGCTGCGGTGCCTGGTTGGTGTACTTGCGTGCCCGCTTCTCCTGCTCCTGCCTCAAGTTCTCCTTGTTGCGGATCTGCTGCTGTATGCTCTGTTGTTGGGGGTTGGGGTGGGAAGAAGGGGGTGAGGAGCAGGCGATAGGAAGAGGGGAGATGAATAGAGGGGCTAGGCTTCTCCTGCTCCTGCTGCAGGTTCTCCTTGTTGCGGATCTGCTGCCGTATGCCCTGTGATGCGTGAGGGGGGATGGAGGGGGGGGCGACGGGGGGACGAGAGGCAGGACGGAAGGGAGGTCGCAAGGAGGGGAGGAAAGCCGGGGGAAGGGAATGAGGGCAGCCGCGTGGGCCATGTGTCTCCTCACCCCCCTGCTCCAGCCTCATATTCTCCTCCTTGTGGATCTGCTGCCGTGTGCTCTATGAGGGGGGGAGGGGGTTGGTGGAGAGGGGGAGATATGAGAGGGCGGGTGGGATGAAGCAAGGGGACTGGCTCATGTATTCCTCCCCCTCCTGCCCCTGCCTCAGCTCCTCCTCGCGGCGGATCTGCTGCTGTATGCTCTGTGGTCCGAGGGGGGAGTGGGGGGGGTGGAGCTTGCGGGAATGCTTGTGCAGCCACGTTTGCACACTCATACCGCACACACACATGAGGCAACAACTACACGCATATTGTGGCAAATACAGCATATGGTGGCAAATACATGCATATGGTGGCAAATACAGCATATGGTGGCAAATACAGCATAGGGTGGCAAATACAGCATATGGTGGCAAATACAGCATATGGTGGCAAATACAGCATATGGTGGCGAATACAGCATATGGTGGCAAATCCTGCATATGGTGGCAAATACATGCATATGGTGGCAAATACAGCAAATGGTGGCAAATACAGCATATGGTGGCAGATACATGCATATGGTGACAAAAACACACCTATGGTGACAAATACACACATCCTCGTTCCCTCCCCCCCCCCCCCCCCTTCCTCCCCTTTCCTCCTCTCCCCTCCACACACACACAGAAAGACACCCCGCACACCCACCCGCACACAGAAAGACACCCCGCACACCCACCCGCACACAGAAAGACACCCCGCACACCCACCCGCACACAGAAAGACACCCCGCACACCCACCCGCACACTGAAAGACACCCCGCACACCCACCCGCACACAGAAAGACACCCCGCACACCCACCCGCACACTGAAAGACACCCCGCACACCCACCCGCACACAGAAAGACACCCCGCACACCCACCCACACACAGAAAGACACCCCGCACACCCACCCGCACACAGAAAGACACCCCGCACACCCACCCGCACACAGAAAGACACCCCGCACACCCACCCGCACACAGAAAGACACCCCGCACACCCACCCACACACAGAAAGACACCCCGCACACCCACCCGCACACAGAAAGACACCCCGCACACCCACCCGCACACAGAAAGACACCCCGCACACCCACCCGCACACAGAAAGACACCCCGCACACCCACCCGCACACAGAAAGACACCCCGCACACCCACCCGCACACAGAAAGACACCCCGCACACCCACCCGCACACTGAAAGACACCCCGCACACCCACCCGCACACAGAAAGACACCCCGCACACCCACCCGCACACAGAAAGACACCCCGCACACCCACCCGCACACAGAAAGACACCCCGCACACCCACCCGCACACAGAAAGACACCCCGCACACCCACCCGCACACAGAAAGACACCCCGCACACCCACCCGCACACAGAAAGACACCCCGCACACCCACCCGCACACTGAAAGACACCCCGCACACCCACCCGCACACAGAAAGACACCCCGCACACCCACCCGCACACAGAAAGACACCCCGCACACCCACCCGCACACAGAAAGACACCCCGCACACCCACCCGCACACAGAAAGACACCCCGCACACCCACCCGCACACAGAAAGACACCCCGCACACCCACCCGCACACAGAAAGACACCCCGCACACCCACCCGCACACAGAAAGACACCCCGCACACCCACCCGCACACAGAAAGACACCCCGCACACCCACCCGCACACAGAAAGACACCCCGCACACCCACCCGCACACAGAAAGACACCCCGCACACCCACCCGCACACAGAAAGACACCCCGCACACCCACCCGCACACAGAAAGACACCCCGCACACCCACCCGCACACAGAAAGACACCCCGCACACCCACCCGCACACAGAAAGACACCCCGCACACCCACCCGCACACAGAAAGACACCCCGCACACCCACCCGCACACAGAAAGACACCCCACACACCCACCCGCACACTGAAAGACACCCCGCACACCCACCCACCCACACAACCACATTTACAGAATGCCGCACTCACCCGCTCCCGCTCCTCCTTCTCCTTCTCGGGGTCCCCTGTGGTGACGATGCTCTTGAGCTCCTTGCCCTTGCGGTACTTGGAGTCCAGCCCCAGGGTGAGCTTCTTGTGAATCAGGCTGTGCGTGTCGAACGGCCGAAACCGCATCTTCTCTAGCAGCTGGCCCTGCCCTTGCACCACGCCTTGCTGGAGAGATGGCAGGAAGAGAAGAAGGGAGGAAGAGAGGATGCAAAGAGAGGGAGGAAGCGGGTGAGCTAGTGAACGATGGAGCGAGAGGGTGAGCTTCTTGTGAACCAGGCTGTGCATGTCAAACGGCTGAAACCGCATCTATTTTTGAGGCGCCTCAAAAGTAGACTCCTCAGCGAGTGAGCTAGTGAATGAGGGAGCGAGAGGGTGAGCTTCTTGTGAATAAGGCTGTGCTTGTCAAACGGCTGAAACCCGGCATCTTCTCTAGCACCACCCCTACCGTGGGGTGTCACACAATGAGGAGCGCCTTGTGCTGCATGGTGCTCACCTTCATTGCCACCCCATTGCATGTACCATGGTGCTGGCTAGACCTATAAACATAGGTTGGTGGTGTGTGTGTGGTTAAAACCCACCTTGGGGTGTCTGTTGGTGGTGTGTGTGGTTCAACCCACCTTGGGGTGTCTGTTGGTGGTGTATGTGCGGTTCAACCCACCTTGGGGTGTCTGTTGGTGGTGTGTGTGTGGTTCAACCCACCTTGGGGTGTCTGTTGGTGGTGTGTGTGGTTCAACCCACCTTGGGGTGTCTGTTGGTGGTGTGTGTGCGGTTCAACCCACCTTGGGGTGTCTGTTGGTGGTGTGTGTGTGGTTCAACCCACCTTGGGGTGTCTGTTGGTAGTGTGTGTGTGGTTCAACCCACCTTGGGGTGTCTGTTGGTGGTGTGTGTGTGGTTCAACCCACCTTGGGTTGTCTGTTGGTGGTGTGTGTGTGGTTCAACCCACCTTGGGGTGTCTGTTGGTGGTGTGTGTGTGGTTCAACCCACCTTGGGGTGTCTGTTGGTGGTGTGTGTGGTTAAACCCACCTTGGGGTGTCTGTTGGTGGCGTGTGTGTGGTGTGGTTCAACCCACCTTGGGGTGTCTGTTGGTGGTGTGTGTGTGGTTCAACCCACCTAGGGGGGGTCTGTTGGTGGTGTGTGTGGTTAAACCCACCTTGGGGTGTCTCTTGGTGGTGTGTGTGTGGTTCAACCCACCTTGGGGTGTCTGTTGGTGGTGTGTGTGGTTAAACCCACCTTGGGGTGTCTGACAAACAGATGCGCCTTGTCCTGCTGCATGCTCTTGATGTCCGTCGCCAGCACCTCCGCCCCCAGCAGCAGATGCAGCGAGCCATCGGACCACCGCACCATGCGCGCGTTGCTCTCCACCTGCCATGAGAGAAAATCGACATGCACGGGGCAGACAGGAACACGGCGAGACATTGAGTGTGTGTGTGGCAGTGGAATCAAGCAGCAGCAGCGCTGCGTGGACAACAGCACAGCAGCAGATGCAGCACGCCGTCCGACCACTGCACCATGCGCACGCGTTGTTGCCAACCTTCAGGGATGCATGTGGTGGAAAGACGGACGGAAGGGGCAGGAAAAAACGTTCAGGCATGTTCACACCCTACCCCCCATCCTCCCACCTGACTGCCTGGTGCACTCTCCGAGAGCGAATGATGCTCTCTGCAGCTCTCTCTCCCCCTAAGTCAGTCCAATGCCCACCATGGCACCATGGCACCATGGCACCATGGCACCATGGCACACCATGAATGGCCCTCTCATGGAACAACATGTCCAACCACACTCATGGGAGCGCCATGGCCCATGGCACTCATGGGAGCGCCCTGGCACTCTCACCACCATGGCACACCACACTCTTACCACCATGGCACACCACACTCTCACCGCCACGGCACAACACACTCTCACCACCATGGCACAACACACTCTCACCACCATGGCACACCACACTCTCACCACCATGCAAGGTACAAAAAAAGGGCGTATTTTTCCTTTTTAGCCCATATCATACTGTACCGAAATATACGACCGTTTGATACGGAAAAAAACGGTCTTGGGTGCGTTTTCAAGTGTGTGCAAAACAACGGTCGTATTATACGATCGTTTTTTGTAATGGGAGGTGTACTAGGTTTATAATTGCCAATCGAGGTCTTGTTATGTGGTTGGGTTTGCTCGCGCTGTTGCGAAATTGTTCGCTCAACATTTTAGGGTTGAGGAGGAGGGGGCTGAGGAGGAAGAGGAGGAGGAGGAGGAGGAGTCATTTGGAGGAGGACGACAAGTAGACACTTGGAGGAGTAGGGGAAGGCTTAGGAGGATTAGGGGGGGGAGGCTCACAAGGAAGCCTAGGAGGATTAGGGGGGAGGTTTAGGAGGAGGAGGGGGAGGCTTAGGATGAGGATGGGGAGGTAGACACCTGTAGGAGGAGGAGGAGGGGGGGGGCTTTGGAGGAGGGGGACGTAGACTTATCGAATGTAGTGGCGTTTCTATCTGTAGCCGCATTTAGATGCTGTTTTAACGTTAGAAAGCCCATGGCAGTTGTCCCCACCTGTTTACTGGTCAGAGTAGGTTTTTTTCTTTTTTTTTTTAGCACCATTTCGTCTATTAAAAATTCGGCGTATTTTTCCTCAAATCACCGAAAAAAACGGCCGTTTAATACGGCCCGTTTTTTTCGGTTGCCGTATTTTTGCACCTTGCCACCATGGCACACCACACTCTCACCACCATGGCACACCACACTCTCACCACCATGGCACACCACACTCTCACCACCATGGCACACCACACTCTCACCACCATGGCACACCACACTCTCACCACCATGGCACAACACACTCTCACAACCGTGGCACACTCTCACCACCATGCCACACTCTCACCACATGTCACACACAACTCATCCCCATGCTGCCATCTGGCTGGCACACTCGCTGCCAGCGAATGAGTTTCTGCAGCCCGCCCTTCGCGTAAGCCGCCAACTCCAATGCTCATGGCATAGCATAAAACACACACACCCATCCACTGCCACCACAACCACCCACTCACCCCCATGCTGCCATCCGGCTGACGCACTCGCCGCCAGCGAATCAGGTTCTGCGGGCCACCCTCTTCGTAGGTGTCTTGGTCGAAGGGCGCTGACTGGATGCCCACAATGTTGCTGGCCATCACCATCACCATCTAGGGACGGGAGGGAGGAGTAAGAGGCACAAACGGTACGGAGTGAGGGAGGAGATGATAACAACATCGCCCCTCACAGGTGTCACTGTGTCAGAGCCTTAGAAGGCTGAATGAGTTCCACAATGTTGCCGGCAGGCACTAAGCACCACGTTGTGTGAAGAGAGAGGAGACAGGGGCAGAGAGGGGCAGAGGGGCACAGGCGGTGCGGTGCGAGGGGCGAAATGGAATCAGAGCGTCGCCCTCCTCAAACACCTGCTTGACTCAAATCATGCACGCACGCACACATGCACACACACATGCACATATGCATACATACACATCACATCAAACATGTGCTACAACCCACCTTGTCTGGCGGGGCAGGGGGGTCAAAGAGAGCGAGCTCCAGATCCAAAGGAGGCCCCTTTGGTCGGTGCTTGGCCCTCCGTCGCTCCCCCCCGTCCTCATCCCACCTCCCCTCCTCCTCATACCCCGTCCTATCGTCCCTCTGCTCGTCCTCTGAGTCATATGCCTCCCGCTGCTGATGGGGGACAAGAAGGAGAGGAGAGAGGGAGGGAGCCATGGGAGGGAGGGAGCAGTGGGAAGGTAGGGATGGATGGGACTATATTTTGACTCGTCCTCCTCCTCCTCATATCCCCTCCTCTCGTCCCTCTGCTCGTCCTCTGACTCATACGCGTCCCCCAGCTGATGCGAGGGAGGAACGAGGGGCGGGAAGAAGGAAGGCGGGAGGAACCAGTGGGAGGGAGGGGGGTTTCGTGAGAAAATGCAGGAATTCGGATGATCAGGTGAATTGAATTGAATGGACACCCACAGCAAGCTGGGAAGTCTGGCAGAGGCAACAGTGCAAGACAACAGCAAAAGCATCTGCTTCCATACAGGGGAGGCGAGAGGAGTGCCTTGAGGTGAGCGGCTCCCCTTCCTCTGCCTCCTGCTCCCCTCCTCTTCCTCCTCCTCGCTCGACTCTCCAAACACGTCTCTTTCCGTCACATGCCGTTGCCCCCTGCGCTCCCCACCCTCCCTCTCCCGCTCCTCCCCACTTCCGTCCCTCTCTCTGCCCCTGCTGGCACCGCAAAGATGCAGCAGATGAGCAGACGAAGCCGAAGCAAGGGGTGAATCACACGGTGCGGGCTGGGGATGCGAGTGAGTGCAAAAGCTACAGTGAGGAGAGGTGAGGTGAGGCGAAGCGAGGTAAGGTGAGGTGAGGTCAGGTGAGATGAGGTAAGGTGAGGTGAGGTAAGGTAAGATAAGGTGAGGTGAGGGAAGGTGAGGTGAGGTAAGGTGAGGTGAGGTAAGGTGAGGTGAGGTAAGGTGAGGTGAGGTGAGGTAAGGTAAGGTGAGGTAAGGCGTGGAAGGGCTGAGTTAGGCACTTGGGTGGACCCTTGTCAACCCCACACGGACACCACACCCCATGCATGCAGCATGCAGCCGGCCCACACCCCATGCATGCAGGATATACGCAAGGGTGCGGTTGGGGATGCGAGTGAGTGCAAAAGCTAAGTGAGGTGAGGCGTGGAAGCGAAGAGCCACTTCGGTTGGTAGACACTTGCCGACCCACACAAACCCTGTGCAACATGCATCCTGCCTGCACCTCATGCAACATGCATCCTGCCCACACCACATCCCATGCAGGATGCAGCAGTGCACACACCCCATGATGGCAGGAAGGGAGGGCATTCACCTGGGCGAACGAGGCGAGTGGCGGTGCTTCGGAGACCTCGGGCTGCCCCTCTCCTCCTGCCTCTCCTCAAACACCTCCTCTTCCTCATCCTCCATCCCCCCTCGCCTCCCTCCAAACCCTCCCTTCCTCGTCCCACCCCCCTCACCCCCCTCCTCATCATCGTCGTCATCGTCTACCACCTGTCGCCCCCCTCGTCGCCTCTGCGCCTGGCTCCGCACCTTCTCCCCCTCCTCCTCATCACTCCCCTTCGTACTCCGCCCCCTCCCTTCCCCCCCGCTTCCCCCGTTCATTTCCTCTCTCCGCCCTTCCCCCTTTCCCCCCTCCCCCCGATCCCCTCCCCCTCGGCGGTCGTCCCAGTCGTCACCAGAACCGGTCCCTCGCCTGCCACGTGGCTGCACGTCATCGGTGGGAAAGAAATAGAAATCCTTTGTAATAATCGTTTGGATTGTTGTTTCAGAGAGGAGGACATGATTAAGAAACGGGAAATAAAAGCCATCCAAGTTGGTGTGAAGTCCATGATGATAGGCACATGGCATTCTCTCTGCCTTGCAATGCAACCGTGTAAGTAACGGTCAAGTTGAGGGATGATGTAAGCTTCAAGCTCTATGCGGAAGAAAGGGGAATATCTACACCCAAGCGCATCACAGAGCCGACTTTCTTGTGCACTTCTTTGGGCATTTATGAACTTATTCGGGCGCAGGAGCAGCGGCGCACCGAATCAAGAAAGGCTCATGCGGAACAAGCCAGCAGCGTCACCTGAGGCGCGCGCAGCCCCAAGCTTGCACTGGGATAACGAGCCGACGGTCGAAATGGTATGGCCTTGAATAATGGACGACCCCTGAGAAATCATCCCGCCTACCTCATCCTTCGCACTGGCGTCGCTCGCCGAGCGACTCAAGCTGCGACGTGGGCGATCGTCACCGGAGCGGGCGGGGCTGCCCTTTTCGTCGCCGGAGCCGTCGGAGTCGGCCCCGAAGAGCGACTCCATAACGTCGTCGCGCCGCTCCGCCATGGCGGCTTTAATCGACCGCCGCTGCCGCTGCAGAGGGCCTCTAAAACGTGGTGACTCTTGAGCCTCGGGCTGCTGCAGAGCACCTCTAAGACCTCTAAGACGCGGTGTGACGTGAGAGTCGAATCAGAAGAGACACTCCATCACGGCGTCGCGCCGCTCCGCCATGGCTCTAAACGCCTGTTGGCGCTGCGGGGGCTTCGAGCGACTGCTACCGCTGCAGAGGGTCTCTAACACGTGGCAAAAGGCGATTGGTACCGAGGACCTGTAAGACGAGCGACACGGGAACTGGTGCGGAGGACGTGTGAGAATCCTCGGGAGGAAAACGCTGCAGCAGAGCCGGCAAAGCACCAGGGCACTGAACCTGGAACCAGCAGGATCGCCCCGTCGGACCCTCGCAATGCCACTACGCGAGTTCAGTATAATAGCGAGTACTCCTGTAATAACGAGTGCCCTTGAGAACTCGATAATCTGGAGGTCGCGGAGCTATTGGTCCTGGAACCTGCCTTAGTAAATCTTGCGACTCTACGGCCGCAATCGTTCGGGCTCGATGTGAAGTTTACTAGAACCTTATAAAGGGACGCCTTATCAGCAGCACTCGTTGACGCTGATGCAAATGTTACCACGCTGTGAATTATGGTGCTGCCGTTTTCGGAACGTTTTGGGAGTATTACAAATCGGTTCCGTAACTGTCATGGCGATGTGAGCCCTCGCCGCCCTGAATGCAAGAAACCCTTAGGGCGTGTCCAGCGCGTACGTTTACAATTCACTTTATACGGTTCAATATGGTTCAACGAGTAAACGTGGTTCAATATACGGTCCAGAGGTCCAACGGGTGAAGTGCGAAAACCGCTCCTGATCGTGATAGATCCTACTAAACCGTGATCCGTGTACTGTAAACGTACGCGCTGGACACGCCCTAACACAAATTTCGCAACAAAAGCGGTCAGGCAGCCAGGCAGGCCACCTGGTTACCCGGTAGGTTCAATCGATCGCGCACCCTAGCTTTGTCGCCTAACTATTTCCCCCCGTAAAAAAAAATCCTCAGCGGACTCCAACACCAGCATCCCATACCAACGAACCCCCCTGTAACCTTCAAAACAGCACATCGGCGAAACGCGAAGGAGGGTCCAGGGGAGAGAGCGCCTGGGGACTGCTGGCACAAACGAAACTCAGCGAAAATGGTTCGTGCAGCAAGGCAAGGCTAGCTTCATTGGCAAGCCTGCTGCACCAGCTGTTTTCTTGCCGCAGCGAAGAGAGCGTATTTGCTGCTGCGAAGAAAAGACGAATCCTTGAAATTTGTTCGCGCCCAGTCACCATTCCATCCGCACGTCGCATTGCTCTTCACACTCCTCTCCGTGCTGCTCGCCACTCTCCCGCCCGTACGGCTGTCGCTGTACTTGCTTCACGGAGCGCTCTCGCCCTGGCCTGCCATGCGCCACGTGTGTTCACGCTTAGGCTTATTGAAGCAACTGGGCTAGGGGATAGCCAACGAGGCGCGTTAGGTCGTTGAGAGCCCACTTAGCCCCCGCAGGTGCTGGAGTTTCCGCATTGGTCTCCAATGACGCTTTAATATAGAAATATATAGAATAGGTAAATAGCATTGGTCTGCAAGCCTCTTGGGGTGCAGCGGCTAACGCGGAGCGCAATGGACTTTCTAATTCGATTTAGAGTGCCTGCGGGCATGGTCGATAGCGAGACCAGCAATAATGGGAGCACGAACGACCCCAGAGCAGCCCACGTGGATATCTCCCTGTCGGTCGATCCGAAGAAGCCTCTTTCCGTGGCGTTTGATAGGCTGTTCCAATGCCACGTGCCCCAGTGTTGCCTGGCTCATCAAGGTCCACGTCAGCAGCCACGTCAGCAGCAAAGCAAGGGGAATGCTCAGGAGCACGAAGGCGGGGAAAGAAGGCCGGAAACAGCAGGAGCGCAGCAGGACGAGAAGCAGCAGGTTCGGTTTATGGCAGTGGGACACGTAGTGTACCTTTCGCCTGGCTTATCTGCTGAGCAAGCCAAGCTTAAATCGGGTGCAATCATCCGGTTGCTTCCTGTGAAAGCTGAGGGGAAGGGGAATGGAGGGAAGACAGCTAGTAGTCAGGAAAGCGCGTTGACAGGGGGAGGTGGTACGAGTGCTGCTCAGGCATCAACTGCTGCTGATGTGTCAACTGCTGCTGATGTGTCAACTGCTGCTGATGTGTCAACCGCTGGTGGCGAGGCATGCCGGAACAATCCTCCATCTGGCCATGTCCGTGTTTCCGCTGCTGCGCCCGCTAAGTCCGCTTCCCCCGTCGTTGCCCCCGCCAGTGCGTGTGCCACCGCTCCCTCAACGCTTCCCACAGGCCCCTCCGCTTCCACCGCTGCTGCTGCTGCTGCCACAGCTGCTTTTGCCCTCTCGCTGCAGGAGAAACAGCAGCAGCAACAGCAGCAGAAAGAGAAACAGCAGCAGCAGCAGCAGCAGCAGAAAGAGAAACAACAGCAGCAGCAAGCGCAGCGCGGCACCACGACCACCACGAGCCATCCCTTCCCGTCCCCCTCGTCCGCCCCTCCCCTCCTCTCTCGCCCCGCCATGCTGCACTACGTGCAACGCCACATCGGCTGGCGCGCGGCCATCTGCCACCTCTGCTACCACCGCACCGTCAACCCCGGGGGGTTTAAAGCCTATGGCCTCATGGACGTGGGCGACCTGAGGCAGGCTTTAAGGGAGAAGCTCAGCGACTGCGTCCCTCTCTCCCAGCGACCGGGTCAGTCCGACCATGCTGTGCTGCGCTGCGAGTCGGGAGGGCTGGCAGGTCTGGCTGTGGGCTGTGCTGTTGGCGATACCACCTGGATCGCACCTGCTCCCAGCACTGGCAGGGGCGCTGCTGCTGCTGCTGCTGCTGCTGCCGGGGGCATGGGTGATAAGGCCGGGGAAGATGGGTGGAGCGACGAGCATGCGCCGCTGGTGACGGCAGAGGCGATGTTTCTGGAGTGGATGGCGGAGCCTCGAGTCGGGTGGCCCGTGGACTTGGGGGCGATTAGAGCCCGCCTCCCCGCCATCATGGGCGCTGCACTCGCTGCTGGCTCTGCTACTGCAGATGCTCCTGTTCCTCCTGTCCCTGCTGTTGCTCCTGCTGCTGCTGCCTCTGCTGCCGCCGCTGCCGCCGCTGCTGCTGCTGCGGCGGTGACTGCTGCCGCATCTGCTGCTACAGCTGCTCTTCCTGCTGCTGCTACCCTCCCTCACCCCTCCCCCTGCCACTGCGTCACCTGCTGGGCCGCTTACCGCCACGCGGTCAGCCTAGCGACCTTCCTCGCCCTTGCGGCGCGCTGCACACGCATCGGCACTCTTTGGCGCGCCCATACCGCCTCCCCTAATGCCGTCTTCCCCGCGCTCCTGCAGGCGCTAGGGGCGGGCAGGCAGGGAGAGGGGGATAGCTTTGCGAGTGCCCTGGTGCAGGTGCTCGGGGTGAAGGGCCCTCAGGAGCTGCAGGGAGGGTTCGCGTCGCATGTGCTTCCGCTTCTGGGGGCGGGGAAGGAGGAGCATGGGCAGACGAGTGGGGGGTTGGCACGGGGTGAGGATGGGGGAAAGGGGAAGGGGAAGGCTGGAAGGGGGAAGGGGGGAGGGGGAAGGAGGGGAAATGGGCGGGGTGGGGGGGGAAAGGGGGGGAGTGGAAGAGGAGGAGGAGGAGGAGGAAGGGGTGGAGGTCGAGGGGGAGGTGGAAGGTGAGGGGTGGAGTTGAGTATGGAGGATATAGCTCGCGAGGTGATTGAGCTGATTTCAGAGGAGCCGACAGGCTTTGAGGAGGTGCGAGCCCGGCTGGGGGGGGCGCAGTGGGAGGAGTACGTGCGCGGCATGGCGTGCATTGTGGCGCAGGGAGGCGGGCGTGATGGGGGGCAGGGCAGGGAGGTCAGGTGCTGTCACTCCAGTGACACGAGGGACAGCGCCAAGGGGTCCGTTGCCAGCAGCACAGCTCTTGCCAATGGCATTGCCAGCAGCAGCTGTGGGTCTGGCAGCAGGGGCGTGGCAGGGCAGGCAGGGCAGGGACCTCCCAAGGGCATGTTTGTGAGCGGCGTGGCTGCCACCGACTTCGCCCTGGCTGTGGCTACCGTGCTATCCCAGCCGCAGTTCGCCAGCAGTGCAGTCAAGATCTTTACCGAGGAAACCAATAACGTGTACAGAGTGATGGTTGAGGACGCTGCTGTGGCTGAAGCAAGGGGGAAGCAAGGGGAAGGGAAGGGGGGTGACACAGCTGCAGGACAGGGAAAGGGGAAGGGGAAGGGGAAGGGGAAGGGCAAGGGGCAGGGGGAGGGGGAGGGGGGCTCCGCTGGACTTGTCACCGAGCTTGTCAACACGCATCCTGTTGTGAACCTTTTCACCCACCGAGCCAGCCTCATCCTCAAATGGGTCCGAACCTTCGGTACAGGTCTGGACCCGCCGAACCTCTGTCTCAGGCTCAGGAAAATGATGCGATCGGCAAGAGGCACGCAGGGCCAGGCCACGCAAGACGCTCGCTACCTGCGCCACCCGCTCCGGGACCTCCCGGACCTGCTGGGCAGGTCCGGCGCCATGCCGGAGCCGCAGGACTGGCGGAGCTTCACTTCTGCATGGGAGGAGTGGCCTGAGGGGTACGTACACCCAGGGGGGTTCTCTCCTCCCCGCCCAGCACTCCCCAGGAACGTGGTAATGATTTGGGAAGAATATGAAGTCAGTGCACTGGTGGATCTTCTCTCGGGCATCCTCCCTCCTCCCGCCTGCACCCGCTGCCTGGCCTGTCTCAACCGCTACCTGTTCGCGGTGGACTGCGTGGCTCTCATCGCCACCTACTCCTTCTGCCCCGCCTCGCTCCTCCTCGCCCGCTTCCTCGCCGCCTTCCCGCCCCCCCACGCGAACTTCCTCGCGCTGCTTGAACCCATGGGTTTGCAGAATCCGCCCAAGGGGATGCCGGTGGCTGCAGTGGTGGCGGAGCTGGAGAGGAGGGTGGAGAGGAGCCCCATGCCCCTGCTGGTGTTCGGGTGCATGCACCTGGTGAAGAGGGGGACTGAGGGGGTTGAGGAGGGTGCGCGGGCGGGGGGGATGCGGGGGAGGGGCGAGGGATCGAGTAGGGGGGTGGGAGCAGCGGGGGGGAGGGAGATGGGAGGGGAGATGTGGGAGGAGGTGGTGTCGTGGCGGGAGGCAGCGAGGAACGCGTGGCCCACGGCGTATATGACTGGGGGAGGGGCGCTCAGCCAGTCGTGTGGGAGTGCGGGCGGCAGCAGCAGCGGCAGTGGCAGGGGTGGCAACGGAAGGCAGAGAGGGAGGCAGCAGGGAGCAGTGGAGGGGCAGAGCGATTGTTTTTCGGGGCAGCTGGCGTACCTGAGGCAGTGGCCGGGAGGGGTGAACCCCCTGGCATGCCTCATGGAGCTGCTGGTGGGAGGGCCCATCCACCGCCCGCAGGACCCCGCCTTCATGGCACAGGTCGCCCGGCAGTTTCAAGAGCTCACCACACGCCCACGCAATCCAGGTGCGTCCGCGGCACAAGCCCATGTATCAGGTGCCTTTGCTGCTTCCGCTGCTGCTGCACGGGTGGCAAGGAAGCAGAGGGGAGGAGAGGCAGGGAGCGGCAGTGCTGATGGGTGTGAGCGGCTGGTGCCGAGCAGGGTGCCGTGCTGGCTGCTGGTGCTGCTGTGCTGTTTGTGCTGCCTGTGGCTCGTGGCCCTGCTGCCATTCTGAATGTGTGGCTGGTAGCCGTGGTGAGCCGTGCTTGCCTGTGCTGCCGTTCTGAGTGAAGGGATGCCTAAATTTCCCTGTGCTTCTGTTCTGACAGTGTCACAGTGGGGAGTGGTTTGTGCGTCTGAGCTTAGCGTGCACGTTGTGTGTGCAGGTAGTTCTGGTAGGTGAAGTGTGGTGGAGGGACCTGATGCTGGGTTCGTGGCATGGCAGCAGTGGTACTGTACAGTGTACACTACATTGTGCAGTGTACGGCAGTGGATACTTCTGGGAGGGGAATTGCCTGCGTGCAGCGTGTGAGTTGGTTCGGTCACGGTTGAAAACAGAGACCTGTTTCTCATTGTGATGTGTGCCTAATGGCATTTGAAAGACCGTTGTGTGCTTTGTACCGTAATCCCCCGTATAAAGCATCCTATGGTGTTAATAAAAATGCAGCAAAATTTTGGGCTGGGTGTAATTAAAGCGAGAGGTTATAGTAGTGACCCCTCTTTCTAGTTGGGCCCAACTACCTAGAATCGACCCTTGAGCAAATATTTTGCTTTGCGCCGGGCAGCAGCCCGGATTTTTAGCTTGCATTGGGCCACGAAATATAATTGCACCTGCGACGGGAATGTTATCGTGACAGATCGTACAACCACTGACATGCGCAGACAATAATTTCGACCAATCGGCAACCAGTCTTGGTTTAGCAGGAGTAGTGAACCCGGGTCCAACTTGAAATTCAAGTTGGGCCCACTTGGTTCAACTTGCGGGCAGTGGGGACTGTGCGACTGGTCGCGCACTATTTGCGACTTGAGTTTGTTCGCGCCAAATGCTGCTCATGCCACGTTTCCCACCAAACGAAACGGGGTTTCCCGCCAACCAATCAAGTAACTGCTCATGCTCGCGCAGTTTCCCCTGCTCGCATGTCTCGACAGTGAACCCCTCTGCCCCAACCAGTTCGTCCCTTAGTCGCTATGACGAACTTCTGGGCCCTTTCAAGTTGGACCCGCCTTCATTATTTTTACCAATGCCAAAAAAATAAAACACCCAGGAGTTATGGAATGTGCATATGGTTTTTTAAATTGGATTTCAAGTGTGCCTGTTTCACCACATTCATTTGAGTCAGATAACCACTTTTGGTCATCTCATTGCATACTGGACGATATTGTCAAATATATGTATAACTCATATTTGTATAGACTGTATAGGGTCACCTTTTAGAGGGTACAACACTCTTAGGTATATACCCTTGTTCTCTCCCTCTATGCAATCATTCAGTTTTCTTTTTAATATGGTATCAGAGCGTAGGTTCGACCCCCCCCCCCCCCCACCTACCGCTTCCGCCCGTTCCTCCTTGGCCCCGTCGCGCTTTCACCTAGGCCCCGTCGCGCCGCCCCACCCAGGCCCCGTAGCGCCCCTCCTGACCTCACTCTCACTGCCTTTGTCGACACCCTCACCGAGATCGAGACTCGCCAGCGCACTATCGCTCAGTCGAGCGGTGCGCCGGCAGTCTCTATCTTTCACGGCTGTGCCCCCTCCCAGTGCACGTTCACTGACGTTTCGGCTGCGGTCGCCACGGCGACCCCTCTCACCGAGACGGCTGCTGCGGTCCACCCGCAGCAGCGCTCGCGCCGCGGTGGCCGTGGTCGCCAGGGTGGTAGGGGTGGTGGTGCAGGTAGTGGTGCTGGTGGTCGTGAGAGTAGTCCGTCTGGGGGGACTAGCATTGGTGGTCAGGAGCAGCAGCCCCAGCCGCAGCAGGAGCAGCCCGCGCCTCAGCCGCCGTCCCAGCAGCAGCCTCCACAGCAGTGGGCTCGCCTCCCACCTGGTTGGCCCGGCTCCTCAGGGGGTGGTGGCAGTGGTGGCGGCCCGCGCAGCTTGGCGTCTACCAGCGGCTCCGGTGCTGTCACCTGTCAGTACCAGCTTCAGACCGGGCCGCTTCGCGGCACTCTGTGCCGCCGCCCGCACCCGACTGCCCGCTGTTTCCGCCGCCTCGACGATCTGTTTCGCCGTCGCTTTGGCCCGGCCCCGGACCTCCCCGACTGGCACAGCCTGCTCCGCCAGGGCGTGCCGATCTTTGAGTTAGACATGGATCAGATAGGTGCTGCTTTGCATGCCATGTATTCTGACGCTGCTAGTGTTGCTGGATCTTATTATCCTGTGTTCTCTAGTTTAGGTGTTGCACCGTTGTGTAGCCTAGCCTAGTTTGTCTAGCCGCGTCTCTGCACCGGCTCCGTTCCCCGCCCCTGCCACTGCTGCGCTGTCCTTCACTCTCGACTCCGGTGCTTCTGCCTGCTTCTTCCGCGACCGTTCCGCACTCACGCCGCTTGCTACGCCAGCTGTCGTCTCTCTCGCCGACCCCTCTGCGGGTCCTGTCGTCGCTCGCAGTTCTACGTCCCTTCCCTGTCCAGCCGTTCCCTCGGGCTCCCTTACAGGCCTCCACGTTCCCTCATTCTCGAGGAACCTGGTTGGTGTCGGCTGTCTCCAGGACCTCGGCGTCACCACCACGTTCCCCGGGCAGGAGCGGTTCGCTGTGTGTTCTGAGGCTGTCTCAGGTTCCCCTCTTGCGACGTTCCCCAGGGACCCGATGTCCGGTCTGTTTACCCTAGACACCGCCTCCCCTCCGGTTGGTGCGTCCTCCCAGGTTGCTGCAGCTTGCTCGTGTCGTTCCCTCACTCACCCGTCCCTTCTCTGGCACCACCGCTTAGGTCACCCTGCTCTCCCTCGTCTGCGTCACATGTCCCAGCACGGCCTTGTCTTAGGTCTCCCTGTGTCGCTCCCCGCCCTTCCTCCCTCGACTGCGCCACCGTGCACGCCTTGCGTCGAGGGCCGG